AACATTAAAATATTATAATGGAGAAAACATTCTCTATACAAAAAATCCTAAAATTTTAATGAAAGTTATTTTTTTTTTTTTTTTTTTTTTTTTTTTAACATCTTCACTTCCAACAAGGCTGCAAGCAACCACTATAAGAGTTGGAAGTTACTGGAAGAGAAAAGACTAAATCTGTAGAGCAAGATAACGATTGACTGATGACTTAAAAGATTGCAAATTATATGAATCAGGAAAGCAAGATGAAGGAAGCGAATTCCAAAGAACTGATGTTCGAGGAAAAAAACTAGAAGAATAAGAGTTTTTGAAGCACTTAGGAACAGTCACAGAAAAAGGATGAGACTTAATTGAATGGCGAGTAACACGAGAATGAATTTTAGTAGATGGCACAAGGGACGCTAGCTCTTTAGAGCAGTGCCCATTATAGTATTTGTAGAAAACAGAAAGAGAAGCAACATTACGACGATGTGACAAAGGTTGGAGATTGGCTGCCAGAGCAGGTCCAACTATGTTTACAATTCGTTTTTGCACCTTGTCTAAAAGAGAAAGAGCATCATTAGAAGATCCGCCCCAGATGTGGCAACAGTATTCCATACAGGGACGGATTTGAGATTTATAGAGATAGAGAATAGAATCTGGAGTAAGAAAGTGTCGAGCTCGATAAAGAGATGCAACCTTAGCAGATGCTAATTTTGCAATGGATTTGATATACGGTTTAAAAGAAAGATCAGAAGTAAGAGTTAATCCTAGAAGATGAATGGTAGATGACTCATCTAGTACATTACCATTCATAAATATAGGAAGATCTAAATTATTACGATAACGATTGGCCGAATAAAATTGAGTTTTATCTGAATTAAAGTTCACCAGCCACTGTGAGCCCCATGCTGTAGCAGAAGTGAGATCCTTTTCAAGCTCAGATACCCCCTCCAAGCAATCAGAGAGTGTAGGCTTCTTATCATGACAAGAGTAAATGGTAGTGTCGTCAGCGAATAATGCCACCTTAGATGTGAGAATATCTGGAAGATCGTTAATGTAAATTAAAAAGAGTATAGGGCCAAGGATTGAACCTTGAGGAACCCCTGAAGTTACAGGATGTGAAGAAGAGTGTTGTCCATCGAGGACAACTTTTATACTACGATTGGAAAGAAAGGACTCAATAATCTTAAAGACGTTACCAGCTACACCATAAGAAGAAAGCTTATGGAGAAGACCAGCATGCCAAACTTTATCAAAAGCTTTAGAAATGTCAAGTGCGATAGCCTTAACCTCTCCACCTCTATCTAATGCACGGTAAAACCTATCGGTTATTACTGTTAGCACATCAGCTGTAGAACGAGAAGACCGAAATCCATATTGATGATCAGAAAGTAAGTTATTTGATTCAAGATGAGAGATTAAGTGTTTGTTGATTAAAGATTCAAAAACCTTGCTTATGACAGGAAGAAGACTAATGGGGCGGTAGTTAGATGAATCAGATCGCTCTCCGGAATTTTTGAAAATAGGGATAACAGATGCTGCTTTCCAGCATGATGGAAAACAAGACTCTGATAAGCACTTGTTAAATAGTTTAGAAAGTATGGATGAAAGCTCCGGAGAACACCTCTGCAAGACTACAACAGGAATGTTGTTAGGACCACAAGCTGTTGAAGAGTCTAAGCAGGAAATTACTTTAGATACAGAAGCTGAAGTGATGCGAATGTCAAGCAAGGGATCAACCTGTTTGACGGCTATGTCAGGTAAAACGCAACTAGTGGAATCAAGAGATGATATTGATGAAAAATTCTTAGCAAACAATTCAGCTTTGTCTTTATGTGAGGTGACAAAGTCTGAACCATACAAGAGAGAAGGAATAACAGATTTGCCCTTATTATTGATACTGTTAAAGATTCTCCAGAAGTCTCGAGAGCCTAATTTTTGTGATGAGATACGAGATTTAATGACCTGGGAATAGCGAGCTTTGGCGTCAGACAAAACCTTTTTACAATGGTTTCTGGCGATAGTGAACAGATGTCTGTTTTCTGGAGAATTGTTTTGCTGATAGATATGGAAGTAACGGTTTCGATTAGAAATTGCTGCAGCGCAATGTGAGGAAAACCAAGGAGAAGAGTGAGGCTTGACCTGGAATCAATAAATTAAAACTTATGTAACACTTTGTACACATACCTTTATAAAAAAACAAACAATAGATTTAAGTTAAACATATTTAATGAAGGAAATAAGGACTCTTAAATATTTAAATGGGGAGGAGCTATTTGTAAAAAGGAAGCCAGTTTTTTAACAAAATTTGTCATAAAAAGTATAAATTGTTAACAAAAAAGAACAGAGTATATATTTTTTATATATCAAATTTACTCAAAAAGTAACACTATAAAAAATATTTAATGTATAATAAATATTAAAGTATAAATCTGTTCAATAAAATTTACCTAAAACTATAAATATTAAAAAAATTATAGATAAAACTATATATCTTTTCAACTTCATTCTTTCAACAATATTTTTTCAACACTTTTTATGACTACACTAACTACAAACAGATTTAATTTGTGTTTTATCATGACAGTACACCACTTAACTAGCATGGACAACTATCTTGCTCCCAACAAAAACAAGTCACATTATAGCAAATTACACCACTTGGCAAGCAAGATCAACACTCTTGCTGTAAACTAAGCTGAGTCGCATCAATTTGAAACCATGCAAACAACATAGTAACCACTGACAAACTATAAACAAATAACGTTATATCACAAACAAAGAAACACTCATATATAAAAGATATTTATACACTACAAAATATAAACCCATATAACCTTAGCACATATAAACACATAATAAATAACACACAAATATGAATAAATATATAAATTAAGAAAAATATATAAATTAAAAACTTTACAAATACAACCTTATTTTTGTAATATTTGTTTAATGACTTACCTCGTAATAAATGTTTACCAACTTGCAAAAACAAACAATCAAAAAATCTGGTTTTTTATATAAAAGGAAACAGATTTTTTTTTTTAACTTCTTTAAACAATCTTGTTCTTTAACATGCAACATAGAGTTGACCATGTGAGATGCAAGGATTTGGGAGATAAACACTAACTTTATCAAGAGTGTGATCTCTTGACCTTTGAAAAGAGCAACGCCTTCTAGAGTCATCATCGTCTTCTAATTTGAAAATTACAGATTAATATACTTTAAATACAATTTACAAAGGACTTGAATTGTGTTATTATGCATGAATTAAATAAATCAACTGACTTCTAAAATAATAATTCTAAAATAACAAGGTTCATCTTTTACAGAAGTTATCAAATAAAAATTGTTGATCTTATCACTAATTAAGCTGATGAAGCAAAGTTTTCGATCTTATTACTGATTAAGCAGATATTGACAGATTATTAAGATTTGAGAGTACTTCATCGCATGAGTTCAAAAATATAAAGAGAAGGAGCATGCTAAATCCTGTTTATAATAAATGGTAAAAAAAGTCAGTGTAAGCGCGCACAAATAAATTCAACTCATAAATACTATATTCATACTTAGTTTTGGCTTCTTGTTTTTTAACAAAGGTTTTTGTATTATAAATTATAGTATATTAAATTGCATCAGTTTTTTTACTACATCATTGTTTTCTATGTTTGTCCCATATTATAGTCTCTATATTATATTGACATCTTTTGTATCATTATTTTTGGCACATTATTTTTGTATTATTTATATTTGTATACTATGCAAAATATGTTTCATTTTTAAATATTTGATTACTATTGATTAATATTATTGTTCTCTTAGTTATGTGTTGTACTGCTATAATTTTTTATTCTTATGATACTTTTTGTATATTATTATATTAATATACTTGTTTATATTGCCTATTGATTTGAAGTTAGTTGGTTGTTTGTTTGCACTGGAAAATCTTCACTGGCATTCTTATTGTTTTCTTATAAAGTAGTGTTCTTTTCTTATAAAGTAGTATTCTTTTTAGTTAGACATCTTTCTGTTGCTGTTATTTACATGCTGCTATTTATGGTTATTTGGTTTGCTTGTTTTTTTGATTGTTAATGCTTTTCTGCTTCCCTGTTTTGAATATTTATCTATACAAACATTTTTTTTTTAATTATATTATGACATTTATGGTATTTATTTGTTATTATTTATTTGAATCTATATTGATACACTGTTCTTTATGATAATCCTTTTTTTAATTTATTTTTTAAAATGATTTTTAGTAACCCAAAGTAAAGATTTAGTTACCCATTTTATATTTTTTAATGTTTTTTTTTTTTTTTTTTTTGTCATAAATTTAAGTGCAAAAACCCAAAATACTCCCCCCCCCCTATAAATATAATCATTCATCTGCAACATATTTTTAAGTATGTTGCAGATGAAAGGTTATATTTATCGGAGGAAAAAAGATATCTTCTTTCTCTAGGGAGAAAATATTTTGGATGATGTAATCTCTGAAAAAGTGGTGTTGCTTTTCAAAGTTTTTATTTCTTGATAAAGTTTAAAATAGGAACTTGATACTAACCCTAAACCTGACCGTTTACGAAAGTTAGAGATGTTTTAAAGAAACCATTAACCTTTAAACTATTACCTTTAGACAATGCTTAATTGATTATTTTGATTTAATATTTAGATGAAAAATTATGCAACTAATGCAACTAGCAACTTGCCAGAAACAAATCCTTCATTGGTCCAGTGAGGGATTTGTTTCTAGAAACAAATCCCTCACTGGATTTGCTTGCAGAAAGTTTGTCGGATTTGTTTTTAAGAAGTATAATTGTTTTTATTTTAAAAATTTTGATTTTTCATTATTCAAAACAATAGTTCAAAAGGTTTTGTTGATTTTTATATAAAGAGTTTTATTAATGTGATTTTAAAGTGTTTTTTTAAAAGATTTTTATAAAAATATTTGGTATTTAATTTTTTTCTTTTTAGCATAAAATTTCATTCTTTAATGGCTTGTTAATTTTTTTTTTTTTTATTAGCTAATCGATACAGTCAATCTGAATAGTGGTTCCGCCTTTTTTTTCGCTAGTGGAACTGCCTTTGTTTCCATCAGCGAGTTTCATCTTTGCTTCCACAGTATTTCCACCAGCGATTTTATCTTTGTTTCCATCAGCAGTTTCACTTTTGTTTTCACTATTTGGTGGCTAAAATATTTTTTTAAAGAACTTTTTTTATTATTTTTTTCTTAAAAAGAAATTTTTGTACTTAAAAGTAGTTTCTGTGTTTTTATTTAAGAACACATTGTAAGTACTAACGATAATAAACTTTATTGTGTTTACATTTGAGAACACATTGTATGTACTACTAATAATAAATTTCATTGTTTTTACATTTGAGAACACATTAATTGCATTGATGGTAGTAAACATTTTTTTCTAATAAATAAATTTCTATTACATTTTCGATCTGTTAGTTTTACATTCAATATTTATTGTTAAATAATATTTGATATTGCATGATATAGAAGCATATTATTTTAACTTTATTTCCTTTAATACCACTCACCAAGAGGCTGTTTAAGCGCAAATTTTGCATAACTATGTGCAAATCGACATTAGTTTTTCGTTTGGATTTAAAAAATTAGCGAACTAATTGAAAGAATAGGCAAATACTAGCAAAAGTGCAGATCGTGAAATTCAATTTGATGCAACGTGAAACTCTCGCATCTAATTTTTATCAGTGTTGTCTTAGACACGGTTGCATACTTTATACACAACAATTTACTTTAAAAATAGCCAATCAAAATAATTTTTTTTTTCCAAATTGCGAATCAAAATATAGTAGTTTTAAGAATTTTAACACCAATTGTTTCAAATTAAGGTTGCAAACGAAACTTTGTTTGCAACCTTTAGTCTATCTGCTTTAAAAATACAAGTTATAAAACTTGCAAGTTCCCAGTAAAATTATATATATATATATATATATATATATATATATATATATATATATATATATATATATATATATATATATATATATATATATATATATATATATATATATATTAGGGTGTTTCATATTTTATCAATTTTTGAAATCGAACTCGCGAATCAATTTATAAATTGACCATTTGTATGAAAATAAGTTTGAGCAAAAAAAAAAAATTTAAATTTTAGGGTCCCCGCCAGTTCGATTTTGGGCCAAAAATGATGGGTGTTTTAAACGCCTGGCGGGGACTTTGAAATTTATCGAAAATTTTTTTTTATTCTTTTAAATGTTATATGTTGGATTGAATATTAAATGGAGCATGTTGAAAAAATTAAGAAATTAGTCTACAGAATCTTCTGAAATTGGTGAAGAATCCAAATTTTTCTTCTTAAAAATCTATTTTATCACTCAATCGCGTATAAAAAACATTTTTGATTTTTTAATAAACTGTTTCCAGACGTGGAAAAATCAATAACCTAGATTTTTTAATAATAGTGTCAAATAAGGTATATATAGGTCTAAAAAAAAATTTCTTTTATCCTTCGAGGTAACCTAACCCTTACGCTAACCTTAATAGCCTAATAACAATTGTTTATTTTAGTTATTTTTATAATAAAAAAGACTTAATGAACTTACTGCAACATGGTTAAAAGTGGTATTGTTGTTATTAGTTTTATTGCCTCGAGATTAGAAAGTATATGGTAGCTTTTCAACTTTAAATGATTTTCTTGGTATTGTTGCAAAGTTTTTTTTGGTTTTGTAAAAAATCAAAAAAAGAAAAAGAATGATATGTTTAAGTATAATTAAATAAAAAATACATATTTACAAATCAATATTACATCATTAAATAAAAGCCATCATTTAAAAACTATATTATCTATTTTGCAATTGCTTGATATGCTAATTGCAAATCTTCTTTAGTCTTTGCCTCGTTAAGGTTTTCTCTCCTTTGGTGAATAGCTAGCAGTAACTCCTGTCGATCGTCTTCATTGTGAACGTTATTTACAAAGTCTGCACTAATCAATATATATTTTTTTTAATTGCAATAATATTGCAATTTTATTGGCCAATATTGCCAATAACTTGCAATGGATTGGCAATATATTGGGCAATAATATTGCAATATTGACAATAAAATTGTAATAATATTGGCCAATATCTTGGGCAATAATCTCGCAATAAAATTGCAATTATATTGGGCAATAATCTCGCAATATTGACAATAAAACTCTTTGCAATTTTATTATCGTCTAGCAGCAGCGCTGAAAGTTGACATTTGAAAGAAACATTTATGTACACTTTCAATTCATACTAAATTCGAATTTTAAAAATTAAATAAACAACTAAATTTAGAATAAATAAGATGGTGTATTTATTTAACACACAAAACATACAAAACACATTACAGATAGAATGGGGGGGGGGGGGGGATAAGCGAAAAACGCTGACAACCCCACACCTTCAAACTTTTTTACTACTTTTATTGTCTCGGAAAAATTGATTAATACTCGCCCGAACAACACGCCAGTTGTAAGACGTAAACACTTTGTCAAGTGCACCTTTAACTTCCTGAATTTCTTCATTCTCCATATGAATGCGTGCAGTAGGTCCGTTTGGTTCACAAATACGCGTGCAAGTAAACTCCTTTCCGAATCACAACAAAATAAATTTTCTTGCAAAGCTACATGGTTCTCGTTTTTGAATGTCGTGCAATTTAAATTCGGCATCAAAACCAGTATACACGGCCTAGTATAATACAGATAAGTTCAGTTAAGTACAGATAAGTTAAGTACAGATAAGTTAAGTACAGATACAGACATACAGACAACAGACAAGTTAAGTACAGATAAGTATAATACAGAAAGTATAATACAGATAAGTTCGGATTTAGTAAACATTTTTCAATGGATGGTCAAATTATGCAACCTTTTGTATATAAATGTACCTTTCCTTTAGCAATCAATATTTCTTTTATTCAATTTGGTAAATACTAGCAAGTTGTGCTCTCATTGGATGAGCTTTTTTTAATTAAATTACAAAAATTAAATTGACTTACATTATCATTATTTACAGATTCTTTTTCTATTGGGCGCAAAATTTCAGACAACAGTTTGTTGGTCTTCTTTTGTTCAAAAAGAAGTTTCTTTTGTTCAATCAAAATTGCTAATGTTAAAAAAAATATATAGCACTTCTATGTACAAGTACAATATGGTAGAACTTAGGCAAACACAGTATTCATACTATAGGACTGTAACTAACCTTCTAAACAAGATAGTTTGCTTAACTTCGGTGAACCACAGTGTTTTGTTTTAGGAACATCACTAATTATTGGAAGCATCAATGCTCTGGGAGCATCAACATTGTCAAGTAGCATGTCAAGCTTCCGCTTTTCCAAAGCCATAATCTGTGCTTCACTTTTTTTAGATCCTTTTTGACTGTTATAAAATGATGCAAAGGACTCTGATTCTATAAATGAAAAAGACAATAAAAATATGTTCAAGAAATTACATAAACAAAATTGTAATATTATTAAAATTACCTGAATTTTCATTCAACACTTCATTTACATGTTTTTTTTTCAGCACCTTTGATTTAGGAGTCGATTTATATTTAGGTCCGTTTAGGCCTGTATGTTCTGAGACCGGTGCAATATTCTCTGGATCTATAAAAAAAAACATGAACAAGTTGTGGTTACAAACATATAATCATGGGTGTACTAGGGGCTAGGCTACTAGTGGATCCAATAGATCCCCACCTACCATCGGATAGTGCAACTTTAACTTGTGTTGATAATTTTTGTGTGAATTTTGTGTCATTTTTTATTATTTAGCAAAAATGTTTAATTAATTATTACTTGTGTAGCAGACATAATAACTAAACTCTGTCTGGTAACAAAGGTAACCTCCTTTTTTTTGACCCAGGGTGCTATTGCACTCCGGCACCATGGTCCAGTTCACCACTACACAGAAGAGTAAATTTTAAATAAAATTACTATAATATTGTCTTGTCATTGTCACATATTTATATTACATAAGTTACCTGAGGATTGGTCTCCATCAGAATGTTTTCTTTTTCCGTCAGTATTGCCTTCAATATAATTGAGGGCAAACTTGCTTACTTCATCAGTGCTAGGATTTTCATCACCAAAATCGTCCATGAAGTTATCTAGCAATGTTTCAAATTTACAGCATTGGGTAATAGACCCCTTATAGATGATGACAGCTGCGTGTTGTATATTTGCAATAGAAACATGCACTACATTTTTCTAATAAGTAAAAAACATTAAATTTAATTATCAACACACCATAAATAGTATAATAAAAGCAGGGGCTTCCATTTTTCAACATCCCTAAAAAGTGGGCATCTAAAATACTTCTTCCATTTTAGGGTGGGCTTCTATATATTCAGCTATGTAAAAAAACAAAAAAAACATTTTTATTTTATTCGTGGGCATCTAAAATACTTGCTTCTATTTTAAGGTAGGCTTCTATATATTCAGCTAATAGCTGATAGCTGATATATTCAGCTAATAGCTGGTATGTAAAAAAACAAAACAAAATTTATCTTCTTTGTCAATTATAGGGAGGGGGGATAAAATTTAAGGGTGGACTTTAATTATATTATGTATGGTAAATGCTGTCAGTTTTTTTTAACACACTTACCACTTGAAATTCAAGGCATTCAACGGATGAATAATGCTTAAAAAGTGTATTTGAAAGTGATATGGGAGAGGTATGCCGCTCATCTTTTTCACAATCCTTGTACCATAAAAGAACAAACGTAGAAGAAAGCTTTTGAGTGTCTACAAAATCTAATTTCTTTTTTCTATTTCTATCAGGGTAAGTCATTATTTAATAAAATATAAACCTGTAAAAAAATTCAATCAAATTATCAAATTATTTTAAATCAAATTATCAAAATATTAAAAACAAAAATGTTTGTTAGTATAAAAAAACACACATGCATGATGTGAAGCATATTTATTAATTACAAAATTTACATTTAGCCACCCTAAGCATATTCGAAAAGTTCTTTCAATGGTGTCAAAATTAATACATCTTTTGTATCTAATTTACTTTTAATTAATATACATTTGCAGACTAAAGTGTCAGCTGAAATAACAACAATGTTTTTTGTTTGTTCAACAATAAAAAAAAAGTCATCATCAAAGTTAATTTCCAAATTTCCAATCATATCACCAAAAGTAGAAACTAACTTACACTTCACATTCAATAGTTGTAACTGAACATGTATTACATTGTCAACTAAAGGAAAATCTAATATGATACCAAACTTATTATGTCCAAATTGACAAGTGTAGCTGTTATGTTTGCCATAACCTTTTGAATGGTAAACAATACCATGTTTCAACAATCTGCCCGGATTTAACAACTGCAATTCTTCTTGTTCAATAATGCCAATATTTAATGCTTTACAAACTTCAACTTTTTTAGGATGATCTGTTGTTTGCAAAAAACAAGAAGCTGTTTTGAAGTCAAGAAATTTTTGTACAATCTGTTGTGGATGACCATGTGTTCCCTTCATCATTTTTTTATAATTACTTAGCCGAGCTTCAAAACAAAACATTGAGTAATTTGTAACACTTCCATGCATTTTAATAATATCGCTAACATGACCAAGCAAATGAACATTTATAGTATTCATATATAAAGGAAGCAACTCAGACAATGATTTTTGATAAAAGTTAAACAGCTGACTAATAAGCAACACCTTATCTAAACATATTTCACTGCTACACAAACGCATACCAATTACTAGAGAATACTAGGTTGGTTGAAAAGTTCGCGGAGCGGCACCTATGTTGCAGTAGTAGAAACAAATTTATAACTGTATTAAACGTATTCATTCTTCGTATGAACGCATAAAAAATTTCAAGTCGATATGTCATTTCAGTCTTTGTTTACAAGCTATTGAAATTAGACGTGTCATAGTATTTTTTAAAATGGAAAATATTGAACATCGTGCTGTAATAAAATTCTTTGTGAAAAAAGGTTTAAAGCCCATGGAAATTCATAATGAAATGGTAAATGTGTTGGGTGATGATGCTCCTTCAAAAACAACAGTATGCAAATGGGCTGCGGAGTTTTAACGTGGGCGTTCAAGCCTTGAAGATGACCCTCGCTCTGGACGTCCAAAAAGTGCTACTACTGAAGAAACGATTAATGCTGTGCATGACATGGTTATGGATGATAGACGATTGACCAAACGTGAAATTGCTGAGGCTGTGGGCATCTCAGATGAACGGGTATTACACATCTTGCACGATGAATTACGTCTGAGAAAGCTGTTGGCAAGATGGGTGCCGCATTCGCTAACTCTGGATCAGAAACGCACTCGAGTAAAACTTTCTCAAGAACATTTGGCCCGTTTTCAAAAGAATAAAACAGATTTTGTGCGTCGATTCGTAACCATGGATGAGACTTGGGTTTACCACTATGATCCGAAGCTGCGACAACAAACTGCAGAGTGGACAGAACCCGGTTGTTCAGCTCCGAAGCAAGTGAAGGCGTCAAAATCGTCAAAGAAGGTTATGGCATCAGTTTTTTGGGATGCGAAAGGAATTTTATTAATAGATTACCTTCAAACCGGTAAAACGATAACAGGTGAATATTATAAAAATCTTTTGGACCAGTTGGATAAAAAAATTCGTGAGAAAAGACCTGGTTTGCTGCATAAAAAAATCATTTATCACCAGGACAACGCACCTGCTCATATCAGCGATGTTGCAAAGGCGAAATTGGTCGAATTAAAGTACGAACGCTTGGAACATCCACCCTATTCACCAGATCTGGCTCCGTCCGACTTCCACCTCTTTCCACATCTCAAAAAATTTCTACGTGGAAAGCGTTTCTCATCACATGAAGAAGTCATTGCAGCCGTAAATGGGTATTTTGAAGGCCTTCCGGAATCGCACTTCAGAGATGGGATACATGAATTGGAGAATCGTTGGAAAAAGTGTATTGCTCTTAAGGGAGAATATACTGAAGAATAAAGTCATTTTTTGAATCATAAAATTGTTTTTTCATTTCCGCTCCGCGAACTTTTCAACCAACCTAGTAAATCATCATCATGCAGTCAGGATTCAAATATGGTAAAAAATATGGAACTGCTAAGTATAAAATAAAGTTTTTAAAGTCATGGCCTTTCCAATGTGTGAATGATTTAATAGTTAATGGCTTGGGCATGTTATGTGGCATTTTTTGATCAGCAAGTAAGATTTCCATAGCATTTAATTTTGCACTACCAATAAAAAATGATTCGTGTTTATTGGTAACAGAAAATAAACAAACTAAAAGCTTTTTTGAGCAATTTTCGTAAAACAAATGTAACACATCAATAAGTATCATATCTGGCACTTTAATAAATGAAATGTCACTAAAGATGTTTGAGCCTTTAATTCCAAATACAGATACTTTTGATTTTTCGACTAATCTAGCATATATGGCATACGTTTCAGATGTTTTAAGATTATAATTTGTATCTGAATGTAAATAAATTCTAGCGGAACCATGTTTTCTTTCAATTGTTCTACCAGGATGTTTGCAATAGTGACATCCAAATTCACCATTATACTGCTTATGATTGATGATTGAAGCCACTGCAGGCAAATCGAAAACAAAACCAACAATATGAATAACTACTTGGATATTGTTAATTTCAAGGGGTGTTTCAAACAGTTTTCCATTGATGTACTCCTAAAAAAAAGTTAGTAATATAGTAACGCTGCCCAATTTATTCTTGTCACGGCTGGAACAGTGAATTCTACTACTATAGGTAATTCCATTGACAACTACTTTTAAAATAAAAAATAACAATCAATAATTTAATTACTTTTAAATAAGCATTCCAATTAGGTTTTAATAATGAGAACCATAAACCAAGAAGTAGTGTATTTTCAAATAGGAATCGTTTATAAGATGGTAAATCTAAAATAATAGCATGAAATGGCCACATTGTAACCTTTTTTTTTGTGTATGGTTCTCCACCATCTGTTGACATCAATAAATGAATATGTAAAACATTTGCAGACTTCATATTTTCAACAAAATTTGGTCTAGAAATAAAATCACTCTTTCTTTTACCTGACATAATTTCCAATTGATACGATTTAATTGCATCCAAATTCAGAAATAAAACAAGCTTCATTTGGCTAATGATATCCAATATAAAGATATGGGATGAACAATGAGTATTTATTTTACACGTGTCAACTAAAGCTGTGCAGCAATTATGACAATAATATTTATGCGTTGGTTCAGTATGGGAGAATATATTTTTAGTAACAAATCTACAAATCATTTTATGAGATGACGGCATGTCATTTATACAGCGAAAAATCTATTAAAAAAATTTAAAAATTAAAAATATATTTTTTCAAGCTTTATCAACCAAACTAAGCCTGGGCCAGACCCCAGCCTCAAGTTGAAATAAAAATATGACATACTTCATTATTTTTATAATTTAATAATTTGTAAAAAAAATAATTTGTAAAAACTATAGATATAAAATATATAATATATAATTGTAAAATATTATATAATATATAATTTGTAAAAAAAGTCGGATAAAATTTTCACAAGTAAAATGTTTTATAATTAGGAACGTTCTGCATTACTTTATCAGACTTTTTTTACGAATTATTGGCAATGTGCACCATTTCTGGTAGCAGCCAGAGATAAATAGCCAGATCAACATTTATTGCTAAGGACTAAGTTGATTGATAATTTTATTAGCTTCACAATATTCATTTACAAGTACATTGCACAATTTAAACTACATCTAACATACCAGCAAAGTCTTCAAAAATCTATCGAATGCGATTTCAGTAAATGAATTGCTAATCATTAAATACAACAAGGTTAAAAACATAAACTTTTTGTTAACAATTGAATCCAATAAAGAACATTCAAATGGATTAGAACTAAAGAACTGAAACATGGAAGCACTCGATTCTTCCTCAGATACTAGAATTTGATTTTCTTCCTCAGATACTATAGATACAATTTCTTCTGTCTCTTGGGTAAAACTACCATCATTAACATTATCATCTGTATTGCTACAGTCGGACTGAGAACTACTATTAGTAATTTCCTCTTCAGAAGAAGTAGACTCAGCCGTAAAATGTAAAGTTCTTCTCTCGTACTTTCTATTAAAAAAATTTCGTTTCATTGCACATATATTCACCATTAATAAAATTTTATGAGTCTTTACTTATAAATAACTATGTTATTTTTGCACGGGTATCTTGTGTGGCCAGACAGGTTTGCTGGGCTCATGCAAGCCATCTCTATCGTGCGCCGAAGAAACCTGCCTGGCCGCACTTACACTGCAGTATAAAGTCCAATGAAAGCATGCTTGTAACTTCAGTTACAATCATAAAATCGATTACCTAATATTAGTTGCAATAATATTGCAATAATATTACAATTATATTGCAATTATATTGCAATTATATTGTAATATTTTAACAACAATCTTGCTACTGCTTATAAACCCATTAAATTTATGTAAAACAAAAAAATGACACAGGCAATTAGATAAGCATCAGAATTATTTATATTTAAATGCATCTAAATTACATTTACAAACACATTACATTTGTATAATTTTATTGATATTTTATTGGACAATTAATTGAGCAATATATAGCAATTTAAATTGAACGCGCAATAATATTGCAATATGTTGTAATAAACCGCAATATATGTCGATTAGTGTGATACAACTTTAATAGATCTTTCAGAAACGTCGTTAACCACTGCAAGGTTGTAAACAAACTGGGAAAAAATCTTAAACTGTTCAATATACTCCCATAGTGGTGCCGGGCTGTTTAACCAAAGTT